CTGTGGGGGTTATCCCTAAAACCATTCCTATATAAAATATCAATGATATTGTAAAGAAAAGGATAGCAATTTTGTTTTAATGATTCTTAAGTGGAGTAAACAAATTACTCAAAAAAATTAAGTAATCACCTATGTGAGAGAGAAGTGGGGCCGCTTCAAAGGAGAATTATTTAAGGGCTAAATTCTTTAGAAACTCTTGCAGAACCAGGTTGATGTTCATGGCCAAAACGAACATAACTATGAGAACTGAACAAACGTTTAGATGATTCCTGTGTGAAGTGTATGATTCATTTACATAAGAAAGCTGGACAGTTCAAGGACATCATGTTTACTGGACAACTAGTAAAGTAAATATACTTTCACAAGGGAAGGTTCAAAGGGTAACACCTACCTATCCTATGCAGGTTTCAATTGTTGAACACTATCACAGAGTCAAAACTAAAATAATTTTCATTCATGTGGGGGATTGTTGAAAATATGGGATAAATTAATGGGTGAATGAATGAGAAATTGATGCTCAAAGAACACCCTTGAGTTGGAAGTGGGAAGTGGAAAAATACTAGTCCCACATTGGAAAAGAAAGAAGGCTATGGAGTGCTTTATATACAATTACACTCATTTGAAGTGGTAACTATCATAGCACAAACACTATACCTCTCGCGCAGGCGCAGGGGGGTGCAAATCCGACGCCCAACAAGCTGAAACTTGGGCGCGAGCGCACGTCCCGTGTACACGATTGCAGGACCGAAAAGTGGGCCTCGCGACGAGCCCAATTTTGCCTTTTGATTTATTTTTCAACACAAGCTGTTACAAATTTCAATTTGTAACGTATGATTAATAGCAGGTTAATGGCGTTAAATTGTGTTGTTACAGAATTAATTTTATAACGGCAAGCTGTTACAGAGTTAATTTTATAACGTTTATAACGGCAAGCTGTTACGGAATTAATTTTATAACGGCCGATGCGTATTGATTTTGTAACGACAGATTTAATCAGCCGTTATTATTCCCGAAATGCTCTCCCCTCTGTTCTATTTATCGAAATCATTCTTCCTCTGTTTTATATTCTCTGCATTTTGCACTGTTTTCGATAGTGTTTAGTTCCGTAATTTGTTCAAGTTCGCCGGAAGCTTTGAAGTGCTGATTACTTCTTAGCCGTCAACCGTTGTATCCTGGGAGACAGACGTTCACGAAACCTCAAACGCGTGCGGGAGGGAACAAATCTGTTTTAAGGAAACTGTGTCAAACACAGGCCTCGGTATTCATTTGTATCGATTCCAACTTTGTTATTGCAATTTCGTTTCTTTACAATTCTGTATTGTTTGTAATATTTATACTAATGCCGATTTGAATTTCGCAACAGAGAATTTGTCGACACATCAAACGGGAGCGTCGTGAGGAGCAGAGGATCTTTCGAATTTTTGGAAGTGCCCAAGTGGCATTTTTAGAAAATCTCAAATCTAGGGGTTATAACCCCTAAAAAACCCTAAAACCCTAAAAGACACAAAGCATGAAATGAATAAGCTTCTAGGGCTTTATTAGGGTTTGGATGTCTTGATTGATTTTCATTTTTAGAGACCATTTATGATTGATTGATTTGATTGACATTGATTGCGCATTTAATTCTTGCTTGATTTTCCCCACGATTAGAATGGATAGAATTAGTGGGTAAGCCTCGGAAACTTGCATGACACGTTAGACATCGTATCGTTCTTAGATACCGAGAGGGCGTTAGGGATCTCGATTTGGGATCATTAACGTAACCAAGTCCCCGTACTCAGAATTTCTGATTCGTAGAATCGTGGTATTTTTCTCATACCCCGATTAGGTTTCTAGTCTATCTACCAATAATGACTAGTGGCGACTCTAAAATAAAAAACTTAGACCAAATAGGAAATTACCATTTGCTGTCACGTGAGGTATGGTCTGGGAGAGACCCTTACACGGAAATACCTCCTTAGCGCGCAAATCTCGAAAGTCCCAAAAAAAAAAGAAAAACGTGGCGCGACAAGGAGCTAGCACTGATTGAACCTTTGTCTACAAGCCCTTTCTTCACATGGACAAACAAAAGCCTGGGGAATAATCTTAAAGCAAACATAATTGACAGAGTCCTGATTAATGCAGATTGGCAGAACAATTTTAACCACTATTTAGTTGAATTCCTGCTACCTGGGGTATCAGATCACTCCCCATGTTTGGTGCGTCTCGACACCACATATAGAAGACGGAAATTCTCGTTCAAATTCTTTAATTTCTGGATTGCGAGTCCTGAGTTCCTGCCTATGGTCTCCTCGAGCTGGCAATAGGAAGTTAGAGGATCAAGAATGTTCACAGTGGTGACGAAACTCAAAGCACTGAAACGGTAACTCCAGGGCCTGAATAAATCTCAGTTCGGGGACTTACATATAAAGGTCAAGCAGGCTAAGGAGAGCTTACAAGGACTTTAATAGGAGCTAGTAGATGACTCTTATAATCCCATTACTCGGGCAGAAGAAAAGACACAACTAGAAGAATTACTTGCTCTCAGTAAAAATGAAGAAGTTTTGCTCAAATAGAAATCTAGAAATCTTTGGCTAAAGGAGGGGGACAACAATAGTAAGATCTTCTTTGTTGCCATGATATGGAGGAGTGCTCAGAACAGGATAAATCAACTTAAACTTGAGGATGGCTCTATTATTACTGAGGAGTGTGCTCTTAAGAATACAATTATATCATATTATCAGCACCTTCTTGGTAACTTCGGTTGAAATAGGACTCCTTCTGATAGATACGCTTCTTTATTTCATGAAGATGTTAATGCTCTGGTTACATTTTCTACGTTTCAAAGATCAGAAATCCTCATAGTTTTAAAGGGCTTCAATGATTTCAAAGCTCCGACTCAAGATGGATATAACAGTCTATTCTACAAATGCACCTGGCCCATCATAGGCAAAGACATTGAGGAAGCTGTCATGGACTTTTTCTCGTCCAAAAGAATGGTGAAGTCCATAAATTCCACATTGATTTGCCTGGTACCAAAGGTCCACAATCCATCCTACCTCAAGGAGTTCAGACCCATTTCATGCTGCAGTGTCCTATACAAGATCATATCTAAGCTACTTGCAATACGAATAAGTTGCATACTTCCATCGATCGTCGGGCTAAATCAAACTGCTTTCATTACTGGATGACAAATATCAGAGAATATTCTATTGTGCCAAGATCTATTACACAACTACCACAAGGGCGGGAAAGGTAAACGCGTGGCAATAAAGATAGATCTCATGAAAGCTTATGATATGGTAAGATGGGATGCAGTCCTTGGGGTTCTCAAAGCTATAAATACGCCCCAGTACTTAGTGGATCTGATAACTGAGTGCATAACTACTCCAAGGTTTTCAGTGAATTTCAATGGCAAATAGGTTGGCTATTTTGACAGTACTAATGGACTGCGACAAGATGTAGATTCAGTCATTTGCCTTGTTGATGCCCTTGATGAATTTGCAGCTCTCACTGGACTGCAGTTTAAACTTGATAAATGCCAAATCTTTTTCTCTGGGTTGAATGAGGATGAGAAGCACCTTATACTGGACCACACGCCTTTTTTCCATAGGTACTCTTCCTATTCGATACTTGGGTGTCCCCTTAGTTACCAGAAGACTCACTCACACTGACTGTAAGAGTCTTACTGACAAGATCTTTAAGAAAATTGAATGCTGGGGCATGAAGCACATAAGTTATGCAGGGCGTTTGCAGCTAGCCAAATCAGTTCTCGTCTCCATCTGCACTTATTGGGTGCAAATGTTCTTACTTCCAAAACAAACATCTACGAGGTTGGGAAGAGGATTCGACAATTCTTATGGGCCGGTAATGCAGTAGATCATAGATCGCACAAGGTTGCATGGCAAGTAGTTTGCTCACCTAGAAGGGAAGGAGGATTGAGTTTACCAAATCTGAACAAATGCAACGAAGTATTGTTGGGCAGCATGATGTGGAACCTCATCAATCGTCCGTCCTCTTCGCTTTGGTGTATATGGGTTCACAACACCAAATGCAGAGGCACTCTAATTATGCAGGTCAACATTAAGGGCAATATGGCATGGAGTTGGCGCTGCATCCTGAAATTGTGATCCGTTCTAACCCCGATTATCCCTATCTCAAGTTACTGTTGCCGTGATGTATATGACGAATTCAGGTATGTGGGACCAGCTGTGGAGTGGTATAACCTAATTTGGTCCAGCGGCATTAGCAAACACAATTTTATTAGTTGGCTAATTTGCAAAAACAGACTACCGACATCAAAGATCATCTCCCAATGGATGTCTTCCATTGATATCCAATGTTATTTCTGTAGGGCTAGTGCAGAAGACAGAACATATTTGTTCTTCCAGTGTGAGTGGACAAGCAGCATATGGCGCAGTATCCTTGCACAACAAGGGATTAGGCATCCTTTAGGAGGATGGAATGCGGAACTTCAATGAATGATTAGAGCAACATAAGGCAAAGACTTGGCGGCAAGACTCATCAAGGTGTCATTTCTAGCAACCATCTATTGCATTTGGATGGAACGTAATAGAAGACGTTTTCAAAAGAAGTCTACTGACAGTCATATCGTTTTGGCAAAGGTGCGTAAAAATGTAAGAGGTAGAGCCTCGCTCTATAAAAAAATTAGACCTTCCCAATCAAATATTGTATTGGCTACTATATGGAGACTTCCTACCTCCATATTTTCGAATCATTAGCTCTATTTGTAATGCTGGGGAATGCCCCTAAGCTGCTGTACTTCATTGGTTTTATAATACTTACATTTTACCTAAAAAAAAAAAAGAGATGAGCTTTCCTGTTGTGAGTTGGTTGATTCCCTCCATAGCTGCCGCGGCAGAAAAGGCCCAACAACACCCTATGTTTCGAACAAGAGACTCATGTAAAATCTGATACGATAATTTTTTTTTGATTGTTGATTTTCATGAAGCAAATGGAGTTTCTAGTTAGATTGAAGAATATTATTAACGGTGCCTTACCACATTGGCCTTGGTCTTTAACGGGCGTGACGGCTCCTTTCTTCCTCCAATCCATGCTCGATGGAACTGCGCTGACGTTTCCGTATCTGAAGGGCTTAGCGGTCGAGGACGGCTTCGGGGAGGACAGGCGCTTGTATCCATTCCCGAAGGGCTGGAACTCTTTGTTCGTTAGGTCGGTGAACCCATTGATTCCTAGCTTGTATGGTTTATCCGCGGCCTTGTTGAAGGACTCAATGAATTCGACGTTGTTCTTGAAGATAACAAAACGCCGCTCTTTCTCGGCGGCGTCCTTGTACACCTGTCCATGATGAGCCATCCATTGTTCATGTCTCTCCTGCATGGTTGCCTCGTGCAGCTCGCGCGAGCGGGCTTGGGAGGCCCAAAGTCCTAGAATGGCCACCATCACAAGAACAAGTTTGCCCTGAAGCGTTAAACCATGGTGTAGCACTCTTGTCCTAGGTCTTTTGTGTTTGTGTGTATTTTGGAGAGCAAATGAGTGGCCAAAGAGATAATTTTTTGCATGATTTTATAGATGGGTTGGGAATACTCTTACTCAAGAAGAGCTTGAAATTGAGTTCCCAATGATTATCGATGTGAATGAAGTCCCTAAGTGCCTGGTGAATCCGGCAAGTCGTTTGTGTTGTGATGAGCCAAACCAGTTGCGTAAACGCTGCTTCATTTTAAATTGAGTATTTCTAAGAGAGAGAGAGAGAGAGAGAGAGAGAGAGAGAGAGAGAGAGAGAGAGAGAGAGAGAGAGAGAGAGAGAGAGAGAGAGAGAGAGAGAGAGAGAGAGAGAGAGATTTGAGGTTTTGAATGCAAATTTTCCCTGCTTGATTGTAGTTATTCTTCATAGTATATAATATATTTCATTCCTTTTGTAAGCATCTCAAGCATAAATGCGTCGTTTGGTTTGTCTCCGCCGTTCTCATCGACCTTAATCACTTGCAATTTTCCAATGCATCTCTCGCTTTCACATCCTTTCAAGAGTCCAAAAATGTGGTCTGAAAAATATTATACAACTATTGACCGTGTGAGTCCCCGTAATAGAAGCCACATGCTTAATGATTAATGATGTCATTTTACATAAGCTAAGTCTACTTAAGAACTTATCATTTTAAATGAAGGTTGTTGACACCAAATTAATCCCGTCATCAATAAGCAGGTGCCCAGCGCATGAGTAAGGGCAAGCGTGTGCATGGCATATGGGCACCACTGCACATATGCGAACTCATCGACTGACATAAAGATTTAAATGTGTTAATCAACGTTGATATATATTCATCAATTCTGCGTATTTAGTTGTTGAAATACGGTGATGGATAGTTGGTGGCCGCTGATATGAGCCTCAGTGGTAAACGATTGTTGGAGAGACATTGAAACACCGTTTTGAAAATTGAAATTGACGGGGTAGTTGGGTCAAAGACATGCATTTTGGAGAGAACAGTTATCAATTGAAAACAACCATCGTGGAACAACTCACATACAACAAGGACAATCGTTTAAGAACATGGATGCGAAGTTGGTGGAGATATAGGATCTTGAAGGCTATCGACGGAAGTTACTCAAAGAGATGCAACCGTTGGAAACAGTTGAAAGACAGTTAACTCAAAACCATTATAGATATTGCTAGTTGTCTGTCAGGGAACGTCCCGCACAAATCAGACACAATGTTATCTTTCAATCATCTTTAGCTTTCCTGTACTATACTTTAAATTTTCTTAGTTGTAGCTTTCCTATTTGTGTCGTCGATTAAATTCCGGTAGAATTTGGTTACGTCTATTTACTTAATCGAGTCTATACTCTTCGAACCACGCCGTCGATTAAATTCCGGCACAGTTTTAGTTTGTAGATTCAGTCCGAATTTGAAGGTGTTGATTCTTTTCGCTTGTGCCTATGATATTTTCTGTTTGGAGTCGGTGCAGAACCTTAATCTCCTTAATTAAAAGCCAAAGAACGACTTTCGATAAAAATATTTCATTGCAGGAGCAATTCCGGCGAAACAAAAGTACAAGAATTGGTTAGAGTTGGTTGGTGTTAACCGAGCTGACAATTAGCCTGTCATTAACTTGAAAGCGAGCCTTCTATGCTCCCGATGCATGTGAGCCGATTAGGTGGGTTCCACGTGAGGTGCATCTCATCCAATGATGCTCACACGCATCAAATTAGAGCCAAGAAATTTGCTTAATCTAGTTGATCTTTGAAAGAGCTTTTTGTAAGTTCTTTTTTCACCGGATAGAATCTAAAACGTAATTAAAAAGTCAAGATAGTAAAGGATGCACACAAGGATTCCCTATGCATTAATAGTAAATTTATTGGTCCTTGTTTATTCCATTAGAAATTGATACTAAAACAGGGGAAATGTGCGACACCAAAACAACCTTGACGGTCCTTGTACTCGAAAGTTGTCTGCCATCGTCAGTGGGATCAAAGAATAAGTAACGGGTTGGTATGCTAGGTGTACTACAAATGAACCTTACTAAAACCCTCTTACTAAATTAAATGCCCTTGTCTTTGGTGATGCCTAATGCGAATAAATCTGGTTATTAACCTAAGCTGGCGATGACTAATGTTTACGTTAGATATATTCCGTAATTATATTTTGATTGATAGTAAACTTTCCAAATCTGTAATTTCCTCAAGATAATTCGGGAGATTTGGTGCTCTAATTAGATTGTTTGTGTGATTTGGTCCTCCAGATAAATGGTAGGACAACCCTCATCGACGTGATTGAGGTCCCAGCAAAGTCCGCATCTCGATCTATATATATATCTATTGTATATGGTTAAATCGGAGATGAGAAAGTATTCGCTTTTATGCTCGCCACGTCGTACTTTTTTTTGGTCAAACACGTCGTACTTAATTTTGACTCTAAATAGCCACATGGCCCAAATTCAACCAATAAATATTAACTTTTTAGTTTGTCATCCCCAAACTTCTGCCTCTTATATTGTGTTTAAAATTCAAAAAGTGAATAAAGAGAGAATCTTCATAAAAATCTTTGAATGATATAGCTAATTGGTCAAATTTTGAACATAATTTCTTAAAGGAATAATTACACAAATGATCCTTGAACTTTAGCCCAATGTGCAATGCGATCTTTGAACTTTTAATTTGTTCAATGTGGTTTCTGAACTAAATTAAACATATACCAAAAGTCCAAGGATAACATTAAATAATTTAAAAGTTTAGGGAGCACATTATACATTGGGCTAAAGTTCATAGACCATATTTCTTAAAATAAAGCTAATCGTATTTCAGTTTATGTTAAGATAATATAAAAGTAACATATCATGTTAGTCAATTACTAAGATAAATATAATTGCTTTTATCTTTGAAATTCATTGATCTCAAACTTGCAATTTATCTTAAATAACGGATAAAGAAAGAGATTTGAAAATGAAATTTACATTTGAAGAATATGACACTAATTTAAGGGTGACCATGTACTCTTAAATAACATAAAACTAAATATAAAATTAAGTTTACAACTATATTATTCGATCAAACTTCCATTTCGTTAAAATTCTATTTGAACTCCCAAGCAGCCTTTGGATGTCCGACTTCAGAAAAAAGTATTTTCTTTGCCATATTTATTCACTCAATCGACAACAACACAAATAACATAAAGAAATACTCTATGCCCGATTTAGATAGAATTACGTTCGACGACGTATGCCAGCGCAAAAACCCATGCCACCTAAATAGTATATAGCAATTAACTTGGATGGTAAATGTAAAACTCGATAAGATTGATAAGATGTAATATACAATCTTTTAGAAACCTTCCATTGTGAACATATTTAAGTATCTTTTTGGATTTCAAATTGAACTCCTTGTTTCAATACAATTCTATTGAGGTTCTCAACTTCAGTTGCATGATATATTTAATTCGGTATCGATGTTGTTCATTAAGTCTAGCATCTTAAATAACTGAAAACATTCACTTGCATTCAAACTTAGGGTTCATATACAACAGGAGACCAATGTCTTCATGCACATGCAAGTCTACGTAGTACAAGCATACTCAAGAAATATGAAAGTTCACAAACCTAGACTTATATGCACACATAAAACACACAAAGACACGTTTACCATGGCCCAATCTCTGTATTAACGTGACATTGCTGTATTGTCCCAAGCAATTATGCAGTTGGATATGAAGCATCCATGGCAATGCCACAAAGACCTTCCGCAGCATCAATGTCCCTCTGCATCCTGATATATCCCTCCTCGCCCCATCCGGTGCCCCACGAATTTTTGACCAACCAGTACTTGGTTCCGTCCTCACTCATCCCGTACCCGACCGCGGTGACCCCGTGGTCCAAATCGGTCCCACATTCCCCGGTGAAAATGCCGCTGGAGTAGAACTGGAAATCTGATTCGCCTGCGTCGATCGCCACGGAAACCGGCTGGTGGGCCACGGCCTTCAGAAGGGCGGATTCGCTGTTGGAAGGCACGTCTTCATATCCAGTGATTTTCGCGGCACTAGAGGATGCTTTCCGGGCATTGCAGGTGCCGTCGACAGCTTGATAAGGGTAATTGGCCTCGGTCGTGAGGCCGTGGTTGCTGATGATGAACTCGAAAGCGTCGTCCATGAGGCCACCCCCGCAACCCTGGTCTTCGCCACTCCTGTCACAATCCACTAGTTCTTGCTCGGACAAAGAGATCAGTTTTCCCGTCGTGAGTTGGGTAATCCCTTCCATGGCCGCCACAGCAGAGAAAGCCCAACAACATCCTATAATCCAAGGAAGATTCACGTAAGAAAACGAAAGATGAAATATGGATGATTGAATGTTATAGTAAAACCAAAGAAGATCCTGAGTATATTTTTGATTCGATGCCTTACCGCATTGGCCTTGGTCCTTAACTGGCGTGACGGCTCCTTTGTTTCTCCAATCCATGCTTGATGGAATCGCAGTCACACTTTCGTATCGGAATGTCTTAATGCTCGCTGGCCTCGGGGAGAACGAGCGCTTGTATCCGGTCCTTGTTGCCTTGAACTCCTCGCTTGTCAGGTCAGCAAACGCATTGATGGCTAACTTGTACGGTTTATTCCCATCCTTGTTGAAGGACTCAACGTACTCGACGTTGTTCTTGAAGATCGAGAAGCGTCGCTCCTTCTCGGCGGTGTCCTCGTACACCCGCCCATGGCGAGCCATCCACTGCTCGTGTCTCTCTTCCATGGTAGCTTCGTGGAGCTCGCGAGACCATGCTTTGGAGGCCCAGAGTCCTAGGATGGTCACCATGACAAGAGCTAGTTTGCCCTCGAGTGTGGAAGCCATGGTTCACTCTTTGTTCTAGGTGCTCTAGGACTATGTTTTTGGTATTGTAAGAAGTGTGTGAGTTGGCCAAGGCAAAATGCAGGGGTTTATATATAGATTGTGAAGGATCCTCCTACTCAAGACCAGGCTGAAATTGGATTCCATAGTGGTGTGAATCTGAAGACAATAAGAACCCGATTTGCATGGTGAATCCGGCACGTCGTTTGAGATGTGGACAACCGAATTAGTGCCGTGAACGCTCTTTCCTTAGTGTTGCTTCCATAACAATACAATAATACATAAACATCTGCATTATAAGAAGGTGCATTTAATCATGTTTCATATTTCTTGATAAGCATTCTTTTCGTTGTCTTTCAACAAACTTAGCAATGTTCAGAATTAAATGGCATTGATTGGTAAATAGAATTAAATGGCCATGTCGAATTGTCATTTGGTTCTTTGCAATCCTTCTCAATTAAACATGTACAAAATTCCAACATCTTATTTCCATACCCCATCATATTGCATCAATGAGGTCTCTATCTACGGCTATATGCTTTGAATGTCTATATCACACTAAAGCATCGGCCGTCACTAGAAAAGATTCTCTCGATTGAAGGTAAAATCATGATTTAATTCATCTTTGCTTTTGTTGCAACGCGAACCAGGTTAACGATAGTATTGTATCCGGTAGGTCTTATTGTCAGTTTGGTGTAGCGGTGCTTGTGCTGCTACTATACTGCGTTATGGCTATGTTGTGAAACTGTGTGTGGTGATCGCATATTATAAAACTGCAACACCTCAAAATTGTGTGACGCGGCTTTTTAAAAACTGTTACAAGCTATTGCGATACCTCAAAATTGGGTGATCGAGTTTTTAAAAGTTTCACCAGCTACAGCGACTTTAAGAAGTCTGACAAATTCCTTATAAAAGCTACAACACCCAATTTTACAGTTCTAACTATTGCGACCAAACATGTTATTTTAGAATGGTTGTCATGATGCCAAAACACGTAGTATAAAATTTATGCAAGAAATGAATGCCACTTTACAATTTGCATAGTATGCTTTTTAAACATTGAGACCCCTCCTTTACATTTTAAAATTATATCTAGTTATATAGAAAGTTGGATTATCCTTGACAACATTGCCGGTGGATAAAAAATATCTTCGCAGGCGGCCCTCATCACCATTAATGTATTTAAAAGGGTTAATACCACGAAAAACTCCAAACTGGTATACTTGTGATAAATTTACATTAAACTAATTTTTTGACCATCAAAAACCCCAAAATGGTACAGCTGTAATAAATTTACACTCTGTTAGTTTCCGTTGAAATTTTATTGTCAAATTGCTGAGTTGGATGACATATAATAGTTGACGAGTGCATTAGTTTGGGGTTTTAGCTCTCCGTTTGTCACAGGTCTATCAATTTGTGATTTTTCGTAGTTTTAATCCAATTTTACGGATGATAAATTTGTCATAAGTGTACTAGTTTAGGGTTTTTGGTGGTCAAAAAATTAGTTTAGGGTAAATTTATCATAGGTGTACCAATTTGAAGTTTTTGATGGTAAAAAATTAGTTCAGGGTAAATCTGTCACAGGTGTACCAGTTTGGAGTTTTCGTGGTATTAGCCCTATTTAAAATTACCCACTAGCAGTTTTATAAATGCAAGACGAAATTTTTTTATATGTAAAGCAAAATAAAATAATTTCCATTTAGAAATTTGATTTGAATGGTCCTATGATAGTAGGATTGAAATTCAATTTGGTGGTACATAAGAAATGTACGGAATCGCATGACGGTTATATTGAGAATTGTAAGCCACATCTTTGACCATTTTGATAATGTATTGCTATAATATCATTTAAAATCATCATGAGCTTTCATGAAATTTTGGAGCAAAACTTTAGGGCGATCATTCCTTTCCTAACCGATTTTCATACATATTCTACCTCATTGGCTGACCAAATTCTTCTGTTTCTGCACAATTGACCAAATATATAATCTAGCACAGTTCTTGTAAAGAATCCTCTATATCTCCACGCAGTCGTCGCGCCCTTATCCCAGTCCAAATCAAAAGAGCTTGCGAATTGCTAGTAATTAAACCAAATCCATTTTGGCTATAATTTAAGAAGTTGAAGTTGCCAATTACGTGGATAGGTTATCGATTCAGTTGACAAGTTGTTGATTGGTTACCTAGTTATCGATTTATAAGTTCAATGTCGATGTCTATTCACATTCCAAGACTGGTGGACGAATTAAGAAGAGTCTTTATTGTAGTGTTGTTTTCAAGAGTCTGTTCGTGTTTTTATGTCTAATTAATGTTTTGTAAATTCCTGGGAACCTATTTCCTTGAAATTCTAGATATATTTATGAGTTATTTAAGAGTAAAAGTCTTGTGACAAGCCTATTTAAAGGCAATTCTTGTAATCGTTTTTGGCGAGGTGAGATAAGGTGAAATAAAGAAAAACAAAAAGCCTATTCACCTTCTTCTCTTCCTTGAGTTGTTCGAATTGAGAGCGTTTTCACCTTCAAATTATACCATCAAATTGGTATCAGAGCTTATGGTTTGTGATCATGGCCTTAACAAACACTCAAATTTCTCTTCAATATCCTTGTCTTACCAAAGAAAACTATAGTAATTGGGTTGTTAGAATGAAAGCCCTACCTAGCGCCTATGGTGTACGGGAACTTGTCAACACTGGCTATGATGAGCCAGAGGACGAAGCCACCTTGAGTAAAAATCAGAAGTCTGCCTTGGAGAAGGTTCGAGTAAAAGATCAATACGCCCTGTCAATTATCTATCAAGCTTTAGATGATTCTTTGTTCGAGAAGGTTTCGAATGCTACTACTTTTAAGGAAGAATGGGAGATCCTTCACAACACACACCAAGGAGTACAAAAAGTTAAGAAGATTCGCCTTCAAACTTTAAGAGGCGAATTTGAGGTAATCCATATGAAAAAATCTGAATCGATTGCTGATTATTTCACAATAGTGTTGGCAATCGTCAACAAAATGAAAAGAAATAGTGAAGATGTTCTAGATGTTCGAGTAGTTTAAAAATTCTTCGGTCTTTAGACAAGAAGTACGATCACATTGGCATTGCAATCGTAGAGTCAAGGATCTAGATGCCATGATGATCGATGAGCTTTTAGGTTCATTGCAAGCCCATGAAGAAAGACTCAAAAGAAACAATCATGAGTCGGTGGAGGAAGTACTTCAACTTGGTTGACCATCTGAGATGAGAAGGAGCAAAATAGAGATCCTATGCAAACTTGAGGGACTGATCAAGATTGTGGTTGAGGTCGAGGCTAAGGTCGTTCAAGGTACAAGTCGTGGACGAAGTAGAGGAGATTTTTCTTGAAATTACAATAGATACCATAATCAAAGAGTTGCTTGTGGAAGAGGAAAGAACTCGTCAATGATAAATCTAAAATTTGATGTTATCATTGTAATAAACTTGGCCATTATGTTTTTAACTGTTGGTACAAAGAAAGTAGCGGAGCAGACGAAAAGGCAAATTTGGCGAATGATGTTGAACAAGTTCTATTATTGTTATTTAAAGAAGATGAAGATGGACAAAATGATACTTGGTACTTGGACATTGGTGCAAGCAAAATCACATGTGCGAGCGGAAGAAGATGTTTGCTGAGTTAGATGAGACAATCAAGGCGAAAGTCTCGTTCGGTGATAATTCCAAAATTCTTATCGAAGGCAAAGGTACAATTCCGATTCGTTTGAAGAATGGTGCACATCAGTTTAGTACTAATGTTTATTATGTTCCAAAAATGTCAAGTAATATCTTGAGTTTGGGATAGCTTCTAGAGAAAGGCTATACTGTCCCATGAAAAGTCTTAGCCTTGTTCTAAGAAACCAAAATAATATATTGATTGCAAATGTGAAGATGTCAAAAAACAAGATATTTATCCCAATATAAAAAAAAATGAAATAACTCGATGCTTAATGGCATGTGTGGATGATCCTTCAGGGTTGTGTCATTTGAGGTTCAACCATCTCATTTCTGGTGCACTCAATTTGCTTTCCCGCAAGAAGATAGCTTACCACATATTAATCATCCTGATCAATATTGTGACGGGTGTGTTCTTGGCAAGCATTCCACATCTAGCTTTCGAAAGGAAGCAACTTATCGAGTGAAGAAGCCACCTGAATTGATTTATTTTGAAGTGTGCGACCTAATCACTTCTCAATTATATGGTAATCATCGATATTTTGTTACTTTTATTGATGATTTTACTCGAAAAATTTGGGTGTATTTTTTGAAAGAAAAGTCAAAAGTGTTTGATGTTTTCAAACAATTCAAGAACTTAGTTTAAAAGGAGAGTGGCTATTTCATCAAACCTATGAGAATTGATCGTGCAGGAGAATTCACTTCTACCATATTTAACAAATTCTATGAAGATCATGGTATTTGGCGTTTCTTGACATCTATATTCTCCTCAACAAAATGGAGGGGCTGAACGAAAAAACAGAACCATTCTTGACGTGGTTCGAAGGATCTTGAAAGGCAAAAATTTGCCCAAGGTGCTTTGGGGTGAAGCTGTCATGTGTGCACTCTATCTACAAAATAAATGTCCCACATATGGAGTTTGATGTAGGCCAACATCATCGCAGCCATCGAGCATATGGTTCCATGCTCCTGTTGTGAGGCCCAATACAATCAATGAATGTCTAATATTTTTCCCTTTGAAGGAAGCCATTCCATTGCCTGGGGCAAACGGAATGGTATATATTATGTATCATGAAGAGTGACTCCAATCGAACAGAAAATATTTGCATTCAAAACCTCAAATCAGTCTCTCTCTTCCTTAGGAACCCAATATTTTATGCTATGATAGAGCAACTCAAAACGAAGCACCGTATACGGAACCTGTTTGGCTCATCACATCCCAAACGACTTGCCGGATTCACCAGGCACTTAGGGACTTCACTCTCATTGATTCAAATCCATAATAATTAAGAACTTTATTACAAGCTCTTCTTGAGTAAGAGTATTTACAACCCATCTATAAATACATGCAAAAACTTCTCTCTT